GTACAAGTCCTTCAGTTTTCTTCTTTTCAATCTTGACTTGATTATTTTTGACACTTTGTACTTCCATATTAATTTTAGAATTAGCTTATTAATTTTCACAAGAAAAGGAAGAAAGGAAGGAAGGTAGGTAGAAAGGAAGGAGTGGGGAAGGAGAAAGGAAGGACAGGAAGAAAGGAAGGAAAGAGAGAAAACCTGCTGGGATTTTTAACCAGTATTGCACTGAGGCAATAGGCTGATTGGAGAGTATTAACATTTGTACAGCAATTTACATGATATATCTCTTCATTTCTTTACATCTTTAAAAACTATTCTCTGGGCCGGGCGCTGTGGCTCACGCCTGTAATCCTAGCTCTTGGGAGGCCGAGGCGGGCGGATTGCTCAAGGTCAGGAGTTCGAAACCAGCCTGAGCAAGAGTGAGACCCCGTCTCTACTATAAATAGAAAGAAATTAATTGGCCAACTGATATATATATAAAAAAAAATTAGCCGGGCATGGTGGCGCATGCCTGTAGTCCCAGCTACCCGGGAGGCTGAGGCAGAAGGATCACTCGAGCCCAGGAGTTTGAGGTTGCTGTGAGCTAGGCTGACGCCACGGCACTCACTCTAGCCTGGGCAACAAAGTGAGACTCTGTCTCAAAAAAAAAAAAAAAAAAACTATTCTCTGCAATGTTTTTCATTTTTATGCATTGGTCAAGTGCATATGTTGCTAAATTTATTTCTTTCAAAGTGTTTGATTTTTCAAATGCTATTATAAATCATATCAAATTTTAAATACTATTTTTCAATATTTGTTCCAAGTATGCAAAAATATAATTGACTTTTGTATAATATGTTGACTTTAGATTCATTACATTAGCTAAATTTACTTATTCTAATAATTCACCTGTAGATTCTATGTATACAATCATGCTCACAGGTAATATCAGGTTCATGTCTTTTCTAACCCTTAAGTTTTGAAATTTCTTTTTCTTGGCTAACTTACTCTGGCTAGAACCTCCAGTACAATGTTAGATAGAAGTGGTGAGAGTGAACACCCTTGTCTTTTTCCTGATCTCTCTTCTGTTAGAAGCTTTCCTATTTCATGATTAAACATAGAATTATTTAGACATACCCTTTATAGATTCAGGAGTTCCCTTTTAGTCCTAGTTTGGTGAAAATTATACTTTTCCCCCTATGAACAAGTACTAAGTTTTATCAAATGCTTTTTATTAATCTTTTGAGATGGTCATATGGTTTTCTTCTTTATTCTGTTACTGTGGTGAATTATATTGATCGATTTTAAGGTGGTAAACCAACATTTCATTTTGGGAGGAAACTTTTCTTTGTCATGATATTTGATCCTTTTGATATATCTCTAGATTTGATTTACTAATATTTTGCTTAGGAGTTTTATATCTATGTCACAGAGAAAGATTGGCCTGTAATTTTCCTCTCCAAATTTTTCATAATATTGTCTTAATATTTTTCTTAAATATCTGTAGGGTGTAAGAGAATGCCAACTGAAAGGTATACCTTGTGCTGGTAGTTGAAGGCAGGAGAAATTATAATTGATTGGAAGCTCAAGAGAGACTTAAAGTAGGAAGTATTTGAGATAAACCTTCAAGGAAAAGTAGAACGTTGACAGTGTAGATAGAAAAGGTATTTTTGGCAAAAGGGAAACTTGGAAATAGTCACTTGGTAATGTGTAGCAGAGAAATGGGGGGAAATGAAATGGTCTGGACTATCAAAAGACTTCAGTCATAGACAATGAGAAAACACCAAATATATATTTTCAGCATTTTGATATGTTCAATATTTGGTAAACATGAGAACAATGTTGAAGAAAGACTCCAAGTTTTCTTACCTGGTGATTAGGAGGATGGCGAAGACATTTCCAGAAGAAAAAGGCAAGAGGAAGAGAAATGTAGACTTCATAGGTCTCAGCATAAAACCAAAAGGCTGGTGCCAAGACAGTGAATGAGCTGTGGAGGCAGGGAACAGCACAAGGACATCATGGGGTTGAGCCCAGAACCACCGACTTTATTCCCTTTAAGGAGTCAGGCACAAGGGCAGCCTGGGGCCCCCTGAAGGGGCCACTAGGGGCCACTGAGAGAGTGACTTTCCAGTAGGGAGAGTCCATTGCATCAGACTCTGCAGAGTGGCCGAGGGAGGAGGACCAAGAAAGCTACATGTCTTGGCATGTGGGAAATCACTGCTGACCTTTGTGTTGTTTGCAGAGATAGTGAATCTTGGTGTCCATGCGAAGAGAGCGAGTAGAGAGCTTCATTCTGAAGGGCTTGATTTTCCGAGCTGTGCAACCCACTCTTTGATTTGGCAATTACATATTGGCGCCTTCTGCATGCCAGACACCATGCTAGGTACTCATGTTACGGTGGTGAACAACATAGACCCGATCCCTCTCTTATTGAGCTCATATCTAATGAGGAGCTTAACATAAAATAAACATAAAGAAATAATTAAAAATGGTATTAGTGCTTGGGGAGAAAGAAGAGGGACTTATGAGAGAGAATAAAAGAAGGAAGCTGGTGTAGATTGCAGAAAGGGATCAGGGAGTGCCTCGCCATGGGTTACACGTGTGGGGCAAATGTGGATTGTGGCAGCAGTAAAGGAACCACCTGAGCTGCCCAAGTGCCTCCTTCAGGGGCCACGTACATGTGGAAGTCCTAGAACTTACAGGGCACCCCAACTCCTTAACTTCCTGTAATACCCAGACCTTACTCCCCATCACATGCCCATCTTCAGGAGCTAGAGAAATCGGCCTGAAAGCAAAAAACCACCACAAATCAGAAGAAAAGGGGGAAATGTGTAGTTTGAAGCAAAATTTTCTTCAGAAGAACCCGGGGAAGATGAATCTACCAGTGTTAAGTTATAATGTTGGGAGATTATGAAGGCTAATATGATTAATTGTAATTATCATTTATAATGTATACTCATAATGATATTGCTTCTAGAACGTCTTCATTATCTTTCACTTTTGAAATGCTTGGGTTTCCCAGCAGACTTGAGAAGGGGCTTTTATTAGGCCCAGATCATCAATCCAAACCTTTTAAGGTAAGGGTGTTGCTACCTCAGAAGCCAAAGAGACATTTCCTAGCGTGGAAATAAAGCACTAAATAGTCATTAGCTTCTTCCATCTGTTTACCAGCCCTCCTGTCATTGGGGTTCGACTGGCCTCAAAATTAACATTCTTCTCTATTTGTCCATCATGGGGCCGAACACGGGCTGTGTTCTCAAGTGGCCTTGGGCAGACCGTGTCAGAGCTATGTTCCTGGGGAAAAACACGTCTAAATTGAATTTGGTTTATTCAGTCCCATTTGAAATGAAGCCTGTGTTTAAAAGAAAGCCATAGTTGATTCTTTTCAAAGCAAGTATCCATTGTCTGATCTAACTGGGCTCAGAAATCTTAATTTGGGGAGTTTTAGCATGTTTCATTTATCATTGAGGCAATGTCAAAATCAGGATGGTTTCTTCCTACCTCCTGGGCTCCCTTCATGGTAGCAAGCTGTACACTCACCAAGCTCCATCGAACCCGCCCGCCACCATGCCTGGCCATCCTCTGTCTGTCTCAGCTTCCTCTGACTACCTTTCCAGGCTTCTCAGGTCTCCTCAGTCTTGTCTCACTTGGGCACCTGCTCTACGGCAAGCCATGCTCTTGGCTGTTTCGGCTGGCCCATGCACCTTGACCTGTTTGTGTTAAGACCCTTTGGAATCCGCAGGGACAACTCACCAGTGACCAGGGGCAGAGCAGCTGTATCAACTCAGCTTGGGGAAGCTCAAGTATCCAGTGATCTTGGCTGTGTGGAGTTTGAAATTAAGCCCAATATATTACTCACGGCAAAACCCGGGGCCAGCCAAGTTAAATAGAGCACTCCCCGAAACATTCGTGGACTGATTAGAGAAGGAAGCTTCGATGTGAAGAGAGGCTATTCTGTGCCTGCCTTTATTTTTTTAAACAACATGCTCTCCACAAGTGAGACAGGAAAAGTATAAACCTCAAAGAACGATATTTATTAATTTAAAAAGCTTAGGCCCATGACCATATGCCATGTCCCTTTAACTTCATAACAGTGGCCACACTTGGACTTTTCCTCCATCTAGAAACTGTGCTAAGCTCTCTGTAAGCATTTTCTCATTTAATCTTCACGAAAACTCCACGATGTAGGTACCACTGTTATTCCCCCTTGCAGCGGGCAAGCTGAGTCCAAGAGGGAGTAGCCACACCCCACTTTTAAGTGATTGAGCTGGAATTCGAACGCTGGCAGTCGGCCTTCGTGTTCTTACCTGCTCTTAAACAAATGCAAGCACCCAGGAACTTTCACAAAGAGAAGACCTCAAGAGAAACCTGCGACATCACCCCATGGGTTTGTAAGTAGACGCCAGTTTTTGTTTGAAAGAACTCTGAAGCCCAGGAGTTCACTAAGGCAAAACACACCCCACTGAACCAAGCAGGGCTTGAGTTTGCAGATTATTTTCCAACCAGAAGGAGTTCATCGACTTGGAGGAAGAAAGAGATCATTTAATGGACTTACAGAAAATATTTTTGTTTTCACTTTTTTTTTTTTCCCTTTGCAGAACAGTTCAAATCTTCCCAGGCCATGGTTCATTCCCTCTGTTGGCCTTTCTACCTGGGATTATTTTGAGAGGCCTGAAGCTAAGTCCCTGTGTCCCCAACTGGCCAGGCCTGACCTAGCATTTGATCGGGGTACCCACACGGCCTTTGCAGCTGCACGTCCACACAGACGTGTTTATGGGAACCCTGAGAATCTCACTTCTCCAACAGCCCTGGGAATTAGATTGTTTTCCACACTGAAAGTTTTCATTTGAAAAATAACTCTCTTTGTTTAACTAGTGAGAAGGAGAGGCTGTTGCTCCCTTCTCGGGCTGGGTAAGAATTCCACGGGCAGTCATTCTGTTTCTCAGTGGAAAATGTTTCGGTTTCTTAATGTTGTTTTGCAGACTGGTCCCTGCCCGGCCCTTGCTCCCAGGACCACACGTACGCACATGTGCACACTCACCCATGCACAGCATTTTCCACCCTTCCCTACTGGGGGCTGGAGACGGCTGCATCCTCTTTCCAACACCTGCAGAACAAGAACGAGGTGGGTCAGTGGCTGTCACCCAGCCAGAGGCATCCCTGCGAGCACAGGAACAGAATGCTTTCCCGGGCTACGCTCTCAACCCTAGAGGCCGGGCGGGCCACAGAGGAAGGAAATTGGACGCCAGACCCCTCCTGTTGCTGTGCATCTCCATGTCAAGCAATTCTCTCACACCATGGAGGGGGTGGTCTGTAACATTCCCTCCTCATTAGGTCCGAATGAAACGATAAACACAGTGCTGTCATCGTCGGACTTACGGTGTGGCCAGCATGGTGCTGAGTGTTCTGGGCTGCACAAAACAAATCAAGATATGGCCCCAGGAGACAATGTAGCGGAGGGAGAAAGAGCATGAGGCTCACATTAGACAGACCTGCTCCATCACTGAAATAACTCAGCCCACGGGCAAGCAACTGCAGTACCACTCCCAGCCTTTGTGTCCACAGCTATGGACAGGGGAAGTTATCTGTCTCACAGGGATGTGCAGTGCCATGGACGGTGTTTGTCACATAGTATATGTCCGAGGATCATGTATCTCCTTCCCTTTCCCTTGTTGTCTGAAAATTAGATATCTCCTTTCTCACCGCAGAGACAAATCCTATTCCTGTAAAAACAAGCTACAAACAATTGAGTGCTGCCCCAGCAGAGCTGAGTACAGAGCAGGGCATCCTCACCCAGGTCCACTGAAGAGTCGGTGGGCACTGTCTGGGGGAGGGGGCTGTGTGATCTAGGGTTGCAAGATCTGTCGCCAGTGGGAACGGTTAGGAATTTAAAGAATTTCCTCTCTCTGGAGTCTAGGTATACAAAAGATATACCTGCCTTAAGAGTGTGGCTTAAACACAGCTCTGCTTAACATGAGCAAAAGGGCTGGGTAAGATGACCACTACGTGAAAACAGACATCTAGAAGATCCACATGAATTAAATGTAAACAGATTAGCTGTTAGCACAGGGTAAATGAGTAGCTTTTAAAGTAGATAGAGATAGTATGAAACAAGTCTGTTGGTCAGACTGCTTTTGGGTTTAAGGGATGGGAGCTCTCTTCTATATTACCCCAAGCAAACAAATAAATATGGAATTTATTGGTTCTTATAACCAAGACATTCTGGATTAGGACTTTGGCTGGGGATGAACAAACAAAATCATGTTATGTTTTCAGGGTGAGATGATTTGCTCTGTCTCTTTCTCTCCATCTTTCCTTCTATTTCTTCATTTCATCTGATAGCCTAATTGTCTCCTCTTTATAATTAGCACCCTACCCTCAGCTTAGCAGCCCCAGCAGAGAGAAGAGATAGGTTCAGCCCCAACCCTGAACCTATCAACCCCTAGAGGATAGTAAGGTACCTGACTTTCTTTGCAGTAGTCAACCAAATGTTGGATGAGTGCCTACTCCATGCTGGGTACTACTCTAGCCACTGGGGACAGAGCAGGAAACAGGACAGAGGATGCCCTGCTCCCAGGGAACTTACAGTCTCGTGAGAGGATAACATTTTAGTTAAATCCTCCTGCTCCTTGCTGCTCTGCATCAGGAACCAAACAGAAGTACAGAGTCCCCTCAGTTCACAAAGAAGCCAATTACTTTGCAGAATTGATAGCGAGTCACCAGATACAATTATATACCTGAAGGTTCCCATGTATAAGACAAGTGTATGTATTGTCTCTCCACATTCTGGTGAGGGCAGCCTCGATGGCCAACCCCCTGTTGAATGTGCGCACCTCTTGTGCTTACATGGCAGGCAGCACTGCCAACCAGAAATGGCTGGGGCTCCGACGAGACAGCTCAGCCTTGGAGGTTCTTGCAGAAAACCCTCACATTCATCTGACATGCACGGAACAAACGTAAAGGGTTTCCATCACAGGTAGGAACAACCAGGACAACCCTACAGCACTTGGCACTGGCCCCGCTTTATCCTGGCTGCAGGAGGTTTCCAGAGATAAGAACTGTGCAACTGCGACTGAGTTGTCAGTCACCCCCGAGGAGCCCATGGAGAGACCCTAACAACCCAAGAGCTCTTTTTAAGGGGGAGGGGAGAATATACATACAATTTATATATATATATACATATACATATATAAATTATTTGTTCTCTGATCAAAAGAAGGTGGGATGCTCTCTAATCCATGAAATGAAATGGAATTATCCCCTGTCTGAGTACACTGTAGTGGGCACTGTAGTTTTGGGTTAGGGGAGAAAAAATGGCTTCCCCAAATTTCTGTATTTGGAGAAAGGAATAAATTTGTGTTTCTCGATGACGTGCATGCGTGATGGAGCGGGAGGGAAGTCCCATCAAATATAATTTATTCAGTATTTATTGGGCACCTACCTCATGCCAATCCTTCGGTTATATAAAAACAAATAATACAACATCTCTGTTCACGGCTGGAGTGGCTGGAGTGTGGTCTTGCATATAAACCGCCCACTCTGCAGCACGTAAGTGTGCACAGCACGTCACACTACGATGTGTCCCGGAGACACGGTTGGCTCTTAGTGTGGCTGATAAGGATGAACGGTGCACTCCTCATCGGGCCTCGGAACGGGTGCCTAGAATCCCAGCACAGAGCCTTGTCTGGAAACTGGCGATTCTGGAGAAAGATAAGGACAGCCTTTAATATCAAGCCTTGGAGCCACCTGAGGCCACTGCTGGTTAAGCACGCTTAACCACCGCAGGCCCAAGGTGGTGTGCGACAAGCATCCCCAGGGCTTGCTGGACAAATCATTACTTTTTATTATTCTTCTTCCTGTCAGGTACTCCGAAATCCACACGGACTGCTCTCATGATTTCAGGTTATCCCAAAAGAGAAACTGAAGAATCCGTGATGAGCACAGCAGGAGAGGGAGCCGGCTGCCGATCTCAAAAGGGCACATCACCATAATCACAGACGTAGCACGAGCATATGCAGAAAGAAACGCACCGGGGGAGTGCGTGTCAGGAACAGCCGGGAGGATACACACACCAGCGCCCCTCCCTGCAGCCCTCTCCCCCACCAAACGGCGCCTTTAAAATACGTGGTGGGCGCCCGCCTCTTCTCTGCGACCCTGCAGAACTCCCTTCCCCCAGTAGCCACCTTTGCTGCTGTTCCACTAAATCCGCCCCGGGTGTCCCCTGGGCTGGCTGTTGCCTTCATATTTCATGCGGAATGTGCAGCTGCCCGGGAGCCTGAGGCATGCCCTGCATTCTGATGCACCGGCCGGCCTGACACCAGCCGGCTCCCGAGCATGCCTAATGAGGAGCTGACACGGAGACAGGGAGTCAGGCCAGGCGGTGGAGGGCCTGCCGCAGACGCAGAGTGGGGCGACGGGGACCAGGGAGAAAGATGGTGGTGGCCTCTTTAAGACACTGCTCTATCACCAGATGGTACAAACATGGGCCAATTTAAACCACACCAGGAATGGATGGGCACCTCGAATAAAGAGCAGTTTGGCTCAAGGAACACTCTTGGAGAAAGCATAAAATGAGCAAGGAGAAGCGGTAAAGACTAAGAGAAGGTTGAAGCTTTGAAATCACTCACCTTTTTCGGCAGGCAGGGCAGCTGCCCATTTTAGTGTTTCTTCTAGGGTAGAGCTTCTGCAAGTTTCCTTAGAGACCACTTCATTATCTAAAAGATCCTGCTGAACAGAAGTTTTTCCTTTCCTTAAAGCCTCATCTACCTTAATTTCACGCATTATTCCTCGTTTTGACTGGCTCTATCAGGATAAATTGGCCCTTTCTTCCCCTGGTATTTAGGGCTTTTATACTTGAGGGCAGAGCATGTACCTACAATCGCCATCCCAAAGCTGCGAGGATGCAGTGGTAAAATGCACATCTGCCGTCTACCTAATGCCTTTCCCAAGCCTGGCCCCATTTGTTCATCCCACTTGATGAGGTGGGTGAGGCTAGGTCCATTTTACAGATGAGAAAACCAAGAGCAACAGAAGTTTGTCCAAGGCCATTCATCAGACCAAGGTCTCAAACATGGGCCAGGATCAGGACTTTCAAACGAGCTGGTTACCCATTAAAAAGTTAAAATCTACCGTTCCACTTGGGTCTATGTGGAATGATGTAGCAAGTCATGATTTCTAATAATTTAATTTAGATACAATGTTAGCAAATGCAACTTTACATTTACACAGGAGCGATCATTATTTAAGTCACGAAATCTAACAAAGAAACTTTGCTTTAAAACTTTGATTTTATCCTATTTCTGTTTTTCTCTGTGTGTGTGTGTGTGTATGTGTGTGTGCGTGCTTCTGTTTTGGCTCTGGGGGACGATAATTTATTAATAAAATGTTTCATAAAACATTTTGTTGAATGTTTACAATGTGCTTCACACTTTTTATTTTCTCATGTCATCCTGACACTGTGAGCTAGGTGATATTGTCCCACTTTGCAGATGAGAAGCCTCTTGCTCAGAGCATGCCAAGACCACAAAGTTCTTAAGTGGCAGGACAGGCACTGCCTGACTTGAAACTCCAGGCTTTTAGCCCCTACAGGTCATGCTCATATTAAAACACCCTGTTTTGCAGCCACAGCACATGAATACATCTTTAATATAATACAGTGCCCTTTTACTTTCCAGCATCACTGTTTTTCACATACTTCCTCTCCACTGGGCTCTTTATGTATTACCCTCTTTAATACTTGCTCTTTTCTAAAGGAAATGAAATCAGAATCTCGAAGAGATATCTGAACTGCCATGTTCACTGCGGCATTATTCACAATAGCCAAGACATGGAAGAAACCTAAATGTCCATCGACAAATGGACAGATATGTGGTATATTCATACAATCGAATACCATTCAGCCTTATAAAAGAAGAAAATCCTGACACTTGTGACAACATGGATGAGCCTAGAGGACATTATGCTAAGTGAAATAAGCCAGTCACAGAAGGACAAATACCACATGATCCCACTTACATAAGAAATATAAAATGATCAGACTCAGAGAAGCAGAGAGATGAATGTTCATTGCCAGGGTCTAGAGATTGGAGGAAAGGGGGAGAAGTTGATCAAAGGGCACAAAGTTTCAGCCGTACACTGTGAATAAGTCCCAGGGATCTACTGTACAGTGTAGTGCCTGGAGTTAACAATACTGTATTGTGCACTTAAAATTTTGCCGAGAGGGTAGATGTTAGGATAAGTGTAAAAAAAAAAAAATAAAAAAAACTTGTACTTTTTTCTTATGTAGAATTATATTTTACTAGTACCTTTTTATGCTTCTTTAGATTCTGTTCTTTCTAAGAACAGATCCATTCCCAATTTAAAATTTTAAATTAATTTTCTTGTTGTTTTTGAATACTTTTGGAGTTAGAACCATAGAATTTTACAATTGGAGAAAACCTTGGTGGTTGTCCATCCACCTTGCTCCCAAGGCAGGAATTTCCCTTCTAATGTCCCCAGAAAGTGGTCAGCCCATTGCCACTTAGACGTCCTCAGTGCCAGAAAGCACAGGGCACCAAAAGGCGGCTCAGTCCACTCCAGGGCAGTCTGAATGGTTAGGTCTTTCTTCCCTTTGCTTCCTTCAACCTATGAATAAGGGTCAGGGTAGTGCTAGGGGCGGGGAATTCAACCCATAACGGTCTCTTGTCTGCTAATCAGCCCTTTAGACCTATGAAGAAGCCACTTG